TAAATTTTTACATGTTTCAAAAGACTTCTCCAAAAGAGTAAAAAGAGAACCTGCAGATTAGGAAAAAATATTTGGCAACAACATATCTGACAAGGGACTTACCTGTAGAATTTATTAAAAAAAAAAAAAACCTCCAGCACCACAACAACAAAAAGACAAACAATCCAGTTAAAAAATGGGCAGAAGATATGAATAGACACTTCACCAAAGGGAATTTTCAGGTGGCAAAGAAACATGAAGAAATGCTCATGATCATTAGCCATTGGAGAGATGCAAATCAAAAAACAATGAGATAACATCTTATCCCAGCAATAATAGCAAAGTTCAACAAGACAGGAAATAAATGCTGGTGAGGATGTGGAGAGATTGGGACTCTCATACACTGCTGGTGGGACTGTAAAATGATACAACCGCTGTGGAAAGCAGTATGGCAACTCCTTAAAAAGTTGGACATAGAGATACCATTTGATCCAGCAATCCCATTACTAGGTAAGTATCCTAAAGAAATGAGAGCCAGGACAAGAACAGACATATACACACCCATGTTCATTGCAGCACTATTTACAATAGCCAAAAGAGAGAAACAACCTATGTGCTCATCGACAGAAGAATAGATAACCAAACTATGGTATATACACACAATGGAATACTATGCAACACTAAAGAATAATGCATAAAGTGAATGAACTTGGAGGACATTATGCTGAGTGAAGTAAGTCAATCCCAGAAGGACAAATATTGTATTAGTCCATTGTTGTGAAAAGTCAAGAAAACATTTATACATGGAAGGAAACTTTCTTTGTTGGTTACCAGGGCTGGGAGGGGAAGGGAGGGATTACTGCAAAAATGAAAAAATAAGTAATAATAATAATAAAGAATCATAGCCATGTTGTATAAAAAAGAAAGAAAGAAAGAAAGAAAATTCAAATGTCCATGGTAGTGGAATGAATAATTAAATTGATAATCATACAATGTAGTGTTACACAACAATGTAAATAAATGAGTGCAGCTGCATGCATCAATAATTTTGAATAAAAGAAACAGTTCCAGAAGAATACATGCAATATGATCCCGCTTACATAAAGTTCAGACACAGGTAAGACTAAATGATATATTGGTAGAGAAAGATGTGTAGGTATGGAAACTATCAAACAAAGCAAGAAATGATTTAATATGACAGGGAGACAGCTCAGGGCGGGAGTGCATGGGAGGGAAGGACACAGGGAAGAGGTAACTACAGGGAGGAAGTGGGAAGAGAGCTGTTACATTGTGGGGAATTGCAGTCAGTGTCATGAGACAAAATGTGTATGAACTGTATGGAAAATGAATTTGCTCTGTAAACGTTCACCCAAATCATATTAAAAATAAAATTAAAATGTTTATGTGGGGAAAGAAATGAAATGATTAATATGGAAGACAGGAGAGGGATTTCTTCAGAGGGGAAGGAGAAGGATGTGTTGAAAGGGTCGCACTGAGGCCTAAAGTGTGGATAATACTCTAGTTTTTAGCCTGGGTGGTGAGTATATAAGGAGGCCAGGTGTCACAGTGGTTAATTGGTCTGCTGCTAACCATAAGGTTGACTGTTCGAACCCACCTAGTAGTTCCACAGGAGAACCTGGCAGTCTGCTCCTATAAAGATTATAGCATAAGGAACTTGATGTGGCAGTTCTACTCTGTCATGTAGGGTCACTGTGAGTCGTAATCTACTTGACAGCACACAAAAACGAGTACGTAAGTATGTTATCTGTACTTTTTGAGTTCAACATTTGCATAGTATATGCTCATTGTGGTAGTTAAATTTGTATGTCAACTTGCCTGGGCCTGGTTGAGTGGCTGAGCAGCTGGTAGTAGTTATTCCCCATGATGAGACTGGCAATCAACTCCATGGTGGGATCTACCACAAGCAGTGCCTTTCGGATGTGGTCTGCTTCCTGTATATAAGGAGAAGCCTTGGGGACTTGTTTTTATGGGCCATCGAGTCGGACCCAACTCATAGCGACCCCTCCTTGGGTTTCCGAGGCGGTATCACTATGGAAGTAGATTGCCCAGCCTTCCTTCTGAGGAGTGGCTGGTGGGTTTGAACCGCCAACCTTCTGGTTAGCAGTAAAATGCCTTAGGCACTACGCTACCAGAGCTCCCTCTCTAGCTTATGGCAAGCTTGGACCCTGCATGTAGCCATGTCGTTGTTCAGCAGCCTGCCATGCTCTGCCGACATTGGGACTTACAGTGGACTTGAATTTGTGGTCCGCCGTGTGGTTTGGTAACATCAGGACTGTGCCTTTTTATTTGTCAACCTTGGGCTTGTTAGCCTCAGCAGCCAGTAGCTACCTGAGTGAAGAGATGCCTCTAGCTTCAGTGGGCTGGGTGGGAACAAGAGGCAGAGCTGAAGCCCAAGGTCGAGGGGCTTTCACACAGCCCCTAGAGCCTGGCACTTTGAACTTGGACTTAAAGCCTCCAAATTATGAGAGAATAACTCCTGTTTGTTCAAGCCATCGCATTTGTGGTATATTTCTGTCAGAGTGGCGCTAGGTAGGTAACCAGAACATTCATTATATGTGATATATTTCACAATTAAATGGAAAAATATATAGTTTATGAAAAATTCAAATTGTGAGTAAGAGCATTAAAAGAACTTTAAAATATTCTTCAGTGTTGTTATAATTGTTATACAGTAAATATAATTAAGAGAAAAAGAAACCTTTCCTTGAGCTATTTGCAATTTGTGAAATGCATGTCTGTCCGGTTTATATACTGTTTGTTTTTGCAGGACAGCATCAGAGTGAATGTTACTACCCTGACAGATGATGGACAGGTATCTAAAGAGCAGGTGTGTCTCCTTTTGATTCTGTTTGATACATCGTCACCAAAGTATTACGCAACAGGTTTCAGTTTTTACCTTTGCGTCTAATTTAGTTAATGTATTTTTAACATGAAGAGTTTGTCATCATTTATAAACCATTGGGATTCATGTTCATGCTGCTTTGTTTTAAGGTTGTTCTTAACATGACGTATGAGAGTGGACAGGTATATGTAAATGACTTCCCTGTGAATAACGGTGTAACCCGAATAAGCTGTCAGACTTTAATAGGTGAGTACTGCTAAATTTTTTCCATAATTGATTTCTTTTTTAAAAATACTAAAATATCATTTGTGGGTGTTATAGATTCCTATTTTAAATTAAAAATATGCATCATTACTAGAGTATATAATAACACTAATGTGTGTCAAACTATTCTTACTTTTCATTGGTTATTCCTGGCATATTCATTTTTCCTTCCATGAGATTGACTGGAACTGTGTTTCCGGTAGGTAGATAAGCAATATAAGAATGAGCACAGAGGTAGGAAATGGAATAGCAAGAGCCAAAATCTTGGGAGGGGTGCTTAGCATAATTACAGATAATAGAGAAAAATGAACTGTTAATACAACATTTTTCTTTTTAACCTTTTTTTTAAATCTTGAGTTTTATAAACTAAAGAGAAACGTGTGTTATGTTGGAATATACCATTTTATTTAAATGAAGTGAAGAATATAAGGGGTATATATAGTTACAGTGTTATTACTCATTTTCAGATAGGCATTTACCATAATACATTTCACTCTAAGCACTTGTAACCTAAACTTTTAAACATCCTTTATATTTTGATTTGTGATATATGTTCCATACATACCATACAATGCACACTGCCATCGAGTCAGCTCCGACTCATAGCGACCCCTTCTTAGGTTTCTGAGGCGATATCTCTATGAAAGTAGATTGCCCATTCTTCCTTCCGAGGAGTTAGAAGTCTGGTTAGCAGTCAAATGCCTTAGGCACTACACTACCAGAGCTCCAGTATCATTCAATTTAGGATATTTTCTAGCTATTTATTATGATATTTCCTTGTGTTTTGGGTCTATTAGAAATACATTGCTTTATTTCCAAATATCTGGGACATTTTACTGATCACACCACTGCATCAGAGAAATACTCTCTATCATTTCGGTCCTTTGAAATTTGAGATTTGGTTTATGTTTTAGCATATGCTCAATATTAGTAAATGTTCCCTTCATGTACACTTACAGAAAAAGCAAACTAATTATTTGGATATGATGTTCTAAATATATCGGTTGTGATTGTTGCTGTTGTTATGTGCTGTCAAGTCGTTAATCATGTTGTTCAATATTTTATGTAATTGTTGGTTTTTTCTTTAAGTCCACTTGCTCTGTCAATCACTGAGGGGAACAACAACAACAACAAAAAAAAACAAAAACAAGCAGTTGCTGTTGAGTGGATTCCAATTCATGGCAACCCCATTTGTTTCAGAGTAGAACTGAGTTCCATTAAGTTTTCTTGGCTATCATCTTTAAGGAAGCAGCAATCTCCACTATGAGTAGTGCTTTCTAGTTCTGTCAATTTTTATTTAACGTATTCTGAACTATATTACTAAGTGTGTACAGATTTGGAACTGTTAATGTCTTTTTACTGGTGGGATTACTCTTTTAGCATATTTCTCTTTATCTCTAATGATGTTCTTGCCTTAGAGATAGCTTTATCTTGTGTGAGTTTAGTGACAGCTGCTCTTTTGTGGTTGTGGGATTGTGGCACGGTCAATCTTTCTGTTTACTTTGTCTTTCTGTGTCCTTATTTAAAGGCATCTCTTATAAGCAGGAGCTCTGGTGGCGTAGTGCCTAAGGCACTTGACTGCTAACCAGAAGGTTGGCAGTTCAAACCCACCAGCCACTCCTCGGAAGGAAGATGGGGCAACCTACTTCTGTAGTGATACTGCCTCGGAAACCCAAGGAGGGGTCGCTATGAGTCGGGTCTGACTCGATGGTACATAACAATAACAACAAAATAACTTATAAGCAGCATACTTTCCTTTTTTAAAATTCAGTCTGCCAGTCTGTCTCTTGATTGGAACTTTATTTATGTTCATGTAGTTACTGAGGTATTTGAATTTAAATTTTTCACCTCAATTACTTGTTTCCTATTTGTTCCATCTGTTCTGTGCTTCTTTTTCTCCCTCCTTTTGCCTTTTTTGAGTTATTTTTGTGTTGTATTTCCCCTGTATCCCCTGTTTTTTCAGTGGTTGGAGTGCCTGAGTGGTACAAGCAGTGCCCTGGCTGAGCTGCTAACCCACAGGTTGCAGATTGGAGTCCACCCAGCGGTGCCTTGGAAGAAAGACGTAGCAGTCTGTTTCTGCAAAATCAGCCCCTGAAAGGCCTGTGGAGCACAGTTCTGCTCCAACACATGGTACTGGGAGTCAGAATGCACTCGATGGCAACTAGCTCAGTGGTTACCCTTGGAATGAATTAGCGCTTTGTCACTTCGAAACAATGCAGAACTCTTAGAATACTTCAATTCTGCTCTCTTTCTGCCTTTGTGTTATTACTGTCATGCATTTTAACTCTTTGTGTTCTTAAAACCCCATATGATATTATTATCTTGTTGATTTGTTTAGTCCAGTAATCATTTATGGACCCTTCATTTGCTTACCCTTTCCACTACTCTTCATTCCTTTCTGTAGGTCTGTGCTTCCCTTTGAAGTCATTTCCCTTCTGCTTGAAGAATTCCTCTTAATATTTTAATATAGGTTTGTTAGAAATGAATTATCTGAAAACATCTCACTTTATGTTCATTTTAGGATCATTTTGTTGGGTATAGAAGCATAGGTATATTTCTTTTAGCACTTAACAATTAATTTTCATTGTTTTCTTGGTTTCATACTTTCTATTGAGGGTTTTATTGTTGCTCCTTTGAGAATAGTATATCTTTT